AGTTTTGAGAATGACACAAGTATTGGTCTTCACAAAGTTCGCTGCTTCAGTATTATGAGATATCTTTGTCAGATGTTACTATGGTATACTGAAGTATAATTACAAGCATTCCATAAGGGTCAAAGGCTTTTATTGACAATTACATTAAGTTTATGCAAAGAGTCAATATTTGCAGTGTTAACCCTTCTTTTTCAAGACCTCTGCATTCTGCCCTGGCATGCTGTCAATTAACTTCTGGGCCACATCCTGACTGATGGCAGCCCATTCTTGGAGTTTGTCAGAATTTGTGGGGTTTTGTTTGTCCACCCGCCTCTTGAGGATCGACCACGTTTTCAATGGGATTAAGGTCTGGGGAGTTTCCTGGCCATGGTCCCAAAATGTCTATGTTTTGTTCCCCGAGCCACTTAGTTATCACCTTTGCCTTATGGCAAGCTGCTCCATCAAGCTGGAAAAGGTATTGGTCGTCACCAAACTGTTCTTGGATGGTTGGGAGAAGTTGCTCTCGGAGGATGTGTTGGTACCATTCTTTATTCATGACTGTGTTCTTAGGCAAAATTGTGAGTGAGCCCACTCCCTTGGCTGAGAAGCAACCCCACACATGAATGGTCTCAGGATGCTTTACTGTTGGCATGACACAGGACTGAGGGTAGCGCTCACCTTGTCTTCTCCGGACAAGGTGTTTTCCGGATGCCTCAAACAATCGGAAAGGGGATTCATCAGAGAAAATGACTTTACCCCAGTCCTTTGCAGTCCAATTCCTGTACCTTTTGCAGAATATCAGTCTGTCCCTGATGTTTTTCCTGGAGAGAAGTGGCTTCTTTGCTGCCCTTCTTGAAACCAGGCCATCCTCCAAAAGTATTCGCCTCACTGTGCGTGCAGATGCACTCACACCTGCCTGCTGCTATTCCTGAGCAAGCTCTGCACTAGTGTTGCCCCGATCCCGCAGCTGAATCAACTTTAGGAGACGGTCCTGGCACTTGCTGAACTTTTTTGGGCGCCCTGATGCCTTCTTCACAACTTGCCTGTGAAGCCCTTTTTGTGCAAAATGATGACGGCACGTGTTTCCTTGCAGGTAACCATGGTTAACAGAGGAAGAACAATGATTTCAAGCACCACCCACCTTTTAAAGCTTCCTGTCTGTTATTCTAACTCAATCAGCATGACAGAGTGATCTCCAGCCTTGTCCTCATCAACACTCTCGCCTGTGTTAACGAGAGAATCACTAACATGATGGCAGCTGGTCCTTTTGTGGCAGGGCTGAAATGCAGTGGAAACCAGCTTCATGAGGTAGTCACCTGGAATGCATTTCAATTAACAGGTGTGCCTTCTTAAAAGTTAATTGGGTACCCAGAGTTACCTCTGCTGCAGAGGATAAGTTCATTAGAGTTACCAGCCTCAGAAATTGCAGCACAAATATAGTGGGGAAAAAAGGATTTAGTCAGCCACCAATTGTGCAAGTTCTCCCACTTAAAAAGATGAGAGAGGCCTGTAATTTTCATCATAGGTACACGTCAACTATGACAGACAAATTGAGGAAAGAAAATCCAGAAAATCACATTGTAGGATTTTTAATGAATTTATTTGCAAATTATGGTGCAAAATAAGTATTTGGTCAATAACAAAAGTTTCTCAATACTTTGTTATATACCCTTTGTTGGCAATGACACAGGTCAAACGTTTTCTGTAAGTCTTCACAAGGTTTTCACACACTGTTGCTGGTATTTTGGCCCATTCCTCCATGCAGATCTCCTCTAGAGCAGTGATGATTTGGGGCTGTCGCTGGGCAACACGGACTTTCAACTCCCTCCAAAGATTTTCTATGGGGTTTAGATCTGGAGACTGGCTAGGCCACTCCAGGACCTTGAAATGCTTCTTACGAAGCCACTCCTTCGTTGCCCGGGCGGTGTGTTTGGGATCATTGTCATGCTGAAAGACCCAGCCACGTTTCATCTTCAATGCCCTTGCTGATGGAAGGAGGTTTTCACTCAAAATCTCACGATACATGGCCCCATTCATTCTTTCCTTTACACGGATCAGTCGTCCTGGTCCCTTTGCAGAAAAACAGCTCCAAAGCATGATGTTTCCACCCCATGCTTCACAGTAGGTATGGTGTTCTTTGGATGCAACTCAGCATTCTTTGTCCTCCAAACACGACGAGTTGAGTTTTTACCAAAAAGTTCTATTTTGGTTTCATCTGACCATATGACATTCTCCCAATCCTCTTCTGGATCATCCAAATGCACTCTAGCAAACTTCAGACGGGCCTGGACATGTACTGGCTTAAGCAGGGGGACACGTCTGGCACTGCAGGATTTGAGTCCCTGGCGGCGTAGTGTGTTACTGATGGTAGGCTTTGTTACTTTGGTCCCAGCTCTCTGTAGGTCATTCACTAGGTCCCCCCGTGTGGTTCTGGGATTTTTGCTCACCGTTCTTGTGATCATTTTGACCCCACAGGGTGAGATCTTGCGTGGAGCCCCAGATCGAGGGAGATTATCAGTGGTCTTGTATGTCTTCCATTTCCTAATAATTGCTCCCACAGTTGATTTCTTCAAACCAAGCTGCTTACCTATTGCAGATTCAGTCTTCCCAGCCTGGTGCAGGTCTACAATTTTGTTTCTGGTGTCCTTTGACAGCTCTTTGGTCTTGGCCATAGTGGAGTTTGGAGTGTGACTGTTTGAGGTTGTGGACAGGTGTCTTTTATACTGATAACAAGTTCAAACAGGTGCCATTAATACAGGTAACGAGTGGAGGACAGAGGAGCCTCTTAAAGAAGAAGTTACAGGTCTGTGAGAGCCAGAAATCTTGCTTGTTTGTAGGTGACCAAATACTTATTTCCCACCATAATTTGCAAATAAATTCATAAAATATCCTACAATGTGATTTTCTGGATTTTTCTTTCTAAATTTGTCTGTCATAGTTGACGTGTACCTATGATGAAAATCCAGGCCTCTCTCATCTTTTGAAGTGGGAGAACTTGCACAATTGGTGGCTGACTAAATACTTTTTTCCCCCACTGTATTTGAAAAGGAAATCATCTCCCAAATATCACTATTTCTAAAACAAGCCATAGAAAGTTGGTTGCAATTTCAATTTAATCCTCCAGAAATGACAGAACAAATATTGCAACAGATATTGTAGTTAAACTCAAATATACTAATTGATAAAAAACCGTTATTTTTTGAGAAAATGTTTAAAAAAAGTATAATCTTCGTAAATGATATTATTGGTAGGAATGGTGGAGTTATGCAGCTAACAAAAACATATGGAAATGTCTGCTCTACCCAAAATTACAACCAAATAATTGCAGCATTACTGCAAAAATGGAAGAGGAAAGTGGAAGGAGGAAAAAGTAAGGAACTTGTCTGTCGGCCTTGCATTAAAGAACATATAATTGGTTAAAGAAAATTGTGATAAATAAAAAAGTTTACCAGTTTCATTTAAGGACCAAAAGATTGACGGCTGTCACATATAGATTGCTAAATAGTTGGGAAGATATTTTTGACGTACCGATTCCATTGCATACTGTTTATGAACTGATTCGCAAAACGACGCCGGATTCAAAACTTAGAATTTTTCAATTTAAATTATTATATAAAATTCTTGCTACCAATAGAATGTTATTTGTATGGGGGATACAATCTTCCCAGCTCTGCAGATTTGGCTGTGAAGAGAATCATTAGATCATTTGTTTTGGTACTGTCCATTTGTAGCTTGTTTCTGGACACAGGTCCAGGAATGGCTGAAGGATTGCAATATTTGCATGGAGCTGACCCTGCAGATAGCACTACTGGGTGATCTGAAAAGTCATAGTCAATCGATCAATAATATAATAATACTTTTAGAAAAAATGTTTATTTTCAATTCACAAACTGTAGAAACAATGAGAATAGAAAGGTTCAGAACTTTTTGTAAAACATCACAGAGCTCGATTTTGGTCTCATCTGACCACAACACTTTCACCCAGTTCTCCTCTGAATCATTCAGATGTTCATTGGCAAACTTCAGACGGCCCTGTATATGTGCTTTCTTGAGCAGGGGGACCTTGCAGGCGCTGCAGGATTTCAGTCCTTCGCGGCGTAGTGTGTTACCAATTGTTTTCTTGGTGACTATGGTCCCAGCTGCCTTGAAATCATTGACAAGATCCTCCCGTGTAGTTCTGGGCTGATTCCTCACCGTTCTCATGATCATTGCAACTCCACGAGGTGAGATCTTGCATGGAGCCCCAGGCCGAGGGAGATTGATAGTTCCTTTGTGTTTCTTCCATTTGCGAATAATCACACCAACTATTGTCACCTTCTCACCAAGCTGCTTGACGATGGTCTTGTAGCCCATTCCAGCCTTGTGTAGGTCTACAATCTTGTCCCTGACATCCTTGGAGAGCTCTTTGGTCTTGGCCATGGTGGAGAGTTTGGAATCTGATTGATTGATTGCTTCTGTGGACAGGTGTCTTTTATACAGGTAACAAGCTGAGATTAGGAGCACTCCCTTTAAGAGTGTGTTCCTAATCTCAGCTCGTTACCTGTATAAAAGACACCTGGGAGGCAGAAATCTTTCTGATTGAGAGGGGGTCAAATACTTATTTCCCTAATTAAAATGCAAATCAATTTATAAAATGTCTGACATGCGTTTTTCTGGATTTTTTTGTTGTTATTCTGTCTCTCACTGTTCAAATAAACCTACCATTAAAATTATAGACTGATCATTTCTTTGTCAGTGGGCAAACGTACAAAATCAGCAGGGGATCAAATACTTTTTTCCCTCACTGTAGATCAGCAAGGGAAGGAAATCAAAGATCACAACAAGGGGGTTGACACAGGAGAACACAATCACTTTCATAAAATGGTCATCTTAAATAACTGTCAACATTAACAGTGACACTTTCAGTATGTGAAGTTGAACCATGAAGTTGAATAGGGTGCCAATTGGGACACCACAATGACTTTGATGATAATTAGTTGATATTATTCATATTTACATACCACAATCATGTATTTTCCTGCATGCCGTCCTCTGTGAGACTGAGAGTGGTGTGGTGTAGACTACTTTCATTTTACAGTGAACCAGAGAGTGGGTCACTTCTGCGTTTTGTCTGTAGATTTACCCCGTACTATCTTAGTCATAGGGGAAGTCCTTAAAGTTTACCCCAAAACACTTCTGGGCCCTTTAAAACAATGGTCGTTTGTCAGTCCCCCAGACAGTTTTTAGGGCCATTGCTTGAGTATTTAGGCAGTGCATTCGGAAAGTATTCAGACCCCTTAACTTTTTCCACATTTTGTTACAGTACAGCCTGATTCTAAAATTGACTAAATATTATTATTTTTCAATCAATCTATACACAATACCCCTCACTCCCTTTAAGAGTGTGCTCCTAATCTCAGCTCGTTACCTGTATAAAAGACACCTGGGAGCCAGAAATATTTCTGATTGAGAGGGGGTAAAATACTTATTTCCATTATTAAAATGCAAATCAATTTATAACATTTTTTACATGCGTTGTTCTGGATTTTTTTGTTGTTATTCTGTCTCTCACTGTTCAAATAAACCTACAATTAAAATTATAGACTGATCATTTCTTTGTCAGTGGGCAAACGTACAAAATCAGCAGGGGATCACATACTTTTTTTCTCTCACTGTATGTGTGTATATATATATATATGGTTGAAGTCGGAAGTTTACATACACTTTATGTGGATATATTGAAGCAACATCTCAAGACATCAGTCAGGAAGTTAAAGCTTGGTCGCAAATGGGTCTTCCAAAAGGACAATGACCCCAAGCATACTTCCAAAGTTGTGACAAAATGGCTTAAGGACAACAAAGTCAAAGTATTGGAGTGGCCATCACAAAGCCCTGACCTCAATCCTATAGAAAATTTGTGGGCAGAACTGTAAAAGCATGTGCGAGTTAGGAGGCCTACAAACCTGACTCAGTTACACCAGCTCTGTCAGGAGAAATGGGCCAAAATTCACCCAATTTATTGTGGGAAGCTTGTGGAAGGCTACCTGAAACGTTTGACCCAAGTTAAACAATTTAAAGGCAATGCTACCAAATACTAATTGAGTGTATGTAAACTTCTGACCCACTGGGAATGTGATGAAAGAAATAAAAGCTGAAATAAATCATTCTCTCTACTATTATTCTGACATAAAATAAAGTGGTGATCCTAACTGACCTAAGACAGGGAATTTTTACTAGGATTAAATGTCAGGAATTGTGAAAAACTGAGTTTAAATGTGTTTGGCTAAGGTGTATGTAAACTTCCGACTTCAACTGTATATATATATATATAACTCAGCAAAAAAAGAAACGTCCCTTTTTCAGGACCCTACCTTTCAAAGATAATTCGTAAAAATCCAAATAACTTCACAAATCTTCATTGTAAAGGTTTTAAACACTGTTTCCCATGCTTGTTCAATGAAACATAAACAATTAATGAACATGCACCTGTGGAACATGCACCTTAAGACACTAACAGCTTACAGACGGTAGGCAATTAAGGTCACAGTTATGAAAACTTAGAACACTAAAGATGCCTTTCTACTGATTCTGAAAAACACCAAAAGAAAGATGCCCAGGGTCCCTGCTCATCTCCGTGAATGTGCCTTAGGCATGCTGCAAGGAGGCATGAGGACTGCAGATGTGGCCAGGGCAATAAATTGCAATGTCCGTACTGTGAGACACCTAAGACAGCGCTACAGGGAGACAGGATGGACAGCTGATCGTCCTCGCAGTGGCAGACCACGTGTAACAACACCTGCACAGGATCGGTACATCCGAACATCACACCTGCGGGACAGGTACAGGATGGCAACAACAACTACCCGAGTTATACCAGGAATGCACAATCCCTCCATCAGTGCTCAGACTGTCCGCAATAGGCTGAGAGAGGCTGGACTGAGGGCTTGTAGGCCTGTTGTAATGTTGTGGTTTTGTCTCACCAGGGGTGATGGTCGGATTCGCGTTTATCGTCGAAGGAATGAGCATTATACCGAGGCCTATACTCTGGAGTGGGATCGATTTGGAGGTGGAGTGTCCGTCATGGTCTGGGGCGGTGTGTCACAGCATCATCGGACTGAGCTTGTTGTCATTGCAGGCAATCTCAACGCTGTGCGTTACAGGGAAGACATCATCCTCCCTCGTGGTACCCTTCCTGCAGGCTCATCCTGACATGACCCTCCAGCATGACAATGCCACCAGCCATCGTTCTGTGCGTGATTTCCTGCAAGACAGGAATGTCAGTGTTCTGCAATGTCCAGCGAAGAGCCTGGATCTCAATCCCATTGAGCATGTCTGGGGCCTGTTGGATCGGAGGGTGAGGGCTAGGGCCATTCCCCCCAGAAATGTCTGGGATCTTGCAGGTGCCTTGGTGGAAGAGTGGGATAACATCACACAGCAAGAACTGGCAAATCTGGTGCAGTCCATGAGGAGGAGATGCACTGCAGTACTTAATGCAGCTGGTGGCCACACCAGATACTGACTGTTACTTTTTATTTTGACCTTCCCTTTGTTCAGGGACACATTATTCAATTTCTGTTAGTCACATGTCTGTGGAACTTGTTCAGTTTATGTCTCAGTTGTTGAATCTTGTTATGTTCATATAAATATTTACACATGTTAAGTTTGCTGAAAATAAACACAGTTGACAGTGAGAGGACGTTTCTTTTTTTTTGCTGAGTTTGTATATATATATGATATTATAAATACCTCACATGCGACTCATGATAAGACTATGCAATTGGCCTATACAAATGTTTATCTGATGCCATAAAGATTATTTAGCAATATGCAAGAGACAATAGTGGAGTTATAGTAATAGAAAGGCCAAGACATTTCTGAGAATGGAATTCTAAATACAAGTGTATTTAATGACTTTGTAAAAGGAAAGATAACATTATTCTAGGCATGATCAGAGAGTGAGGGAGAAATAAACAAGGAAACCATGGCTTGTCCCATGGCCGATAGCTCATGGGAGAAACAGAAAGAGAGAGAGAGAGTGTGTGTCTCACCACAGCTGATCAGGAACAAATAAGAGAGACAGACAATGAACTGAGTTGTTGACCAATACTATTACTGTAAACTTAACCTCCAATCCGATATAAGACCTACAGGATGCAACTTCTGCTTCTCAGAAGAGAGACAATAGGGGTTGGAGAGATAATGAGGCATTCCTAAGACAACACAGAGGAAATTCTTGCATACAGTTGACAAGAACAGCAACTTTGGGGGCCGGGCTGCCCTACAATACTGTACATACTGCACATATAACATCCCAGGTTTACAGGGCAACAGCAAATCGACTAGAAAGACATTGCCTAGAAATCTTAAGGTATGTTTATGTGCCTCTCTGTGTGTCTGACCACCAGGTGGATGAGATCCTGACGGCCCTGGGGCTGCAGGAGTGTGCCCAGACCCGTACTATCTCTTTGTCTGGGGGGCAGTGCAAGAGACTGGCCATCGCCCAGGAGCTGGTCAACAATCCCCCTGTCATGTTCTTTGATGAGCCTACCAGGTAGGTACACACCTGGTATACTGACACACCTGGTACACACTGACACAGAGGAAATACTGCATGATAATGACGTTGGGTGGGAATCTGCTTTGTTGCTGCACTGCGTAAAGGAATAGCTACCAAGGACAAGCTAATGTTTGTCACCTCTCTCTCTCTTAGTGGTCTGGATAGTGCATCCTGTTTCCAGGTGGTCTCTCTCATGAAGTCCCTGGCTCAGGGAGGAAGGACAATCATCTGCACCATCCACCAGCCCAGCGCCAAGCTCTTTGAGATGTTTGATAAGGTAACTAAATTCCACAGAATTAAACAAAACGTTTATGCCATTATACAGTATGTATGGTATTGTACAGTATCTAGGACTGACTGCCATATGCTTTGTCATTAGCCTAATCATTATCTTAACTGTCGTAATGAAAGTGAGGTCTATACTGTTGTGTATGATGTCCGGAGCCTGCTGTTTTTCTGTTCTACCTGATAATTAATTGCACACACCTGGTGTCCCAGGTCTAAATCAGTCCCTGATTAGAGGGGTACAATGAAAAAAAGCAGTGGAACTGGCTTTGGGGTCCAGAGTTGAGTTTGAAGGCTCTAGACCATATATCGAGGTCAGTTGTTATGTAAAGGCATCAGTGTCATGTATAATTCAGGGACTGATATTACATCAGGCAAAGATATGTAAATAATACTGTGTATGTCTCTGTGTTTCCTTCTTTAGCTGTACATCCTCAGTCAGGGCCAGTGTATATACCATGGGACAGTCCCGTACCTCATCCCTTACCTAAAGAACCTGGGCCTTCACTGTCCTACCTACCACAACCCTGCAGACTTCAGTGAGTCAGCATAAGATCCTGTGTGCATGCGTGCGTGCATTCTTGCGTGCGTGCGTGTGTGTGTGACAATGCAATCATTTTTCAAGGTCCTTTTTAGTGGATCAAGGTTCTTCTTCTTACTTCACTAACTGACTGTGTCCTCTGTTCTCTGTTTGTCCTCTGTGTCCCCTGTCTCCAGTCATTGAGGTGGCCTCTGGGGAGTATGGGGACCTGAACTCGGTGCTGTTTGAGGCTGTGCAGGGAGGACTCTGCTCAGAGGAGGGCAAGAAGAACTCCAGTGACAAGAGTGACCCAGCCTCTTCTGGCCACTCTAACAGTCACAGTGTGAGTCTTGGCACACTGACCTACAGGACTCACTTACCATCACAGTCCCGCACCACTGACCTACAGCACTCACAGTCATGCAGCGTGATGAGATCACTCAGGAGTCACTCACTCAGTCAATACCTATACGTCTTTACCTATTCACTCATTGCATGTCTTTTCAACTCCAACTCCAACTGTGTAAGGGATCTAATTGAGTGTGTCCTGTCCTCTGTCTGTCTGTCTGTCCACAGGATACGCAGTACACAGGAACGATGGAGAAACACAGCTTTGCCACCAGTACCTGGTCACAGTTCTGCGTTTTGTTCAGAAGAACACTATTAACGATATGCAGGGACACGGTAAACAATTGACATAATAATAATTCTCAATATTGACTTGCATTGTGTGTGTCTGAAATGAATTAGTAAACTTAAAAGACAGTGATCGAGTGAATCAATGAATCAATACATTGTGAGTATGAGTGAACAGCAAGTACAGTTTATAATGTTGCGTACTAAATTGAGGCATGCATTTCTGTGTGTGTTCTCAGGTGTTGACCCACCTCAGAGTGATGTCCCACATATGTATAGGAATTCTGATCGGTCTGCTCTATCTCAACATTGGCAATGACGCCAGCAAGGTCTTCAACAACACTGGCTTCCTCTTCTTCTCCATGCTCTTCCTCATGTTCGCTGCCCTGATGCCCACCGTCCTCACCTGTAAGAGACAGCGAGAACATGGGGAGGGTGGAACAATCTTACCTTGTGAACATGTTCTTGCAATCTGGTCCCAGATCTGTTTGTGCTGTCTTGCCTAATGGTCCTGTGGTCTACTCTATGATGTGTCCATAGGAGTTGGTAAGACAGCACAAACAGATCTGAGACCACACTAGTTGTTGTACTATTAACAAGAAATGTATTGTACTCATACGTGGTTTATGTGTTTCACAGTTCCTCTGGAGATGTCAGTGTTTCTGAGGGAACATCTCAACTACTGGTACAGCCTGAAGGCCTACTTCCTGGCCAAAACCATGGCGGACATACCCTTCCAGGTGAGCTGCTGGCATCGATGTGTGACTAAGTTGACTTTGATGTATTTTTCTTTACAAAACAGCAAGATAAGAGAATACCTTATGGTCTCTTCCTTAGGGCATGACACAGTTACATTAAATCTGTCTCTGTATGTGTTTCTCTCTTTCTCCCTCACTCTCTTTCCCACTCTCCCCTCCCTCCCTTTCTCTTTATGTCTCCCCCCTCCCTATCCCTCCCCCTCAGGTGATCTGTCCCATCATGTACTGCAGTATAGTGTACTGGATGACAGAGCAGCCTCCTGAGGCAGTGCGGTACCTGCTCTTCATGGCCTTGTCCACCTCTACAGCCCTGGTAGCCCAGTCCCTAGGCCTCCTCATTGGGGCCGCCTCCACCTCCTTACAGGTAATGCACATCACATGGGTCAGCAGTTTACAGACCGGTACTACCACAAACAACCGACCGTCGGTCGGCCAATCGGCCTGTGCCGCACAGCAGATATTCAAGATTTCTGGAAGGTTCCTCTTTTAGGTTTCCTATTTTAGAATGATATAGCAGTCTGCTCCTGCACACTGACTCACTCACCTACCCACTCACTGCCTCAGAGGAGTTGTAGTGTTGTTTTTTGAATAACTGACCTTTGCCCTCTAGGTGGCGACCTTCGTGGGCCCAGTCACAGCCATCCCAGTACTCCTGTTCTCTGGATTCTTTGTCAACTTTGACACCATCCCCAAGTACTTGCAATGGAGCTCCTATGTGTCCTATGTCAGGTGGGTCTGCTCTGGTGGGGCTATGAAGGCCTTTGAATCCTTTCCTTTGCTACCTTTGTGCTCAAGCGGAGGACATTCAATTAACCAATTACAGAACATCATGATGTGTTGAGAGGATCTTATGCTGTTTCTTCCAGCTTGGGTTAAGTGGAATACTCTCCAACAATCTGGCAATCCTGCTCATTGTGTTACTCTGTGTAAGTGTTTATGTGTTACTCAAGCTTACAGTAAATCATTCAACTTCTCCTTCTCCACTTCTCCCACCAGGTATGGCTTTGAGGGGGTGATCCTGTCCATCTATGGGATGAATCGTTCGGAGCTGGAGTGTCCAGGGGTGGTGTGTAAGTTCCAGAAACCTGAGGAGGTTCTACAGCTACTGGATGTGGAGGATGCTAAGCTCTACGTGGACTTCCTGGTTCTGGGTGTGTTCTTCCTAGTCCTCAGACTGGCTACATACCTGGTGCTCAAATACAAAGTCATAGCAGAGCGATAAGACCAAGAGTACAAGTCATTTTTTGTGCAAGGTTTTATCTTTTTATTAAAAAAAGGACAATAACTTAATAAGACCACAAATTATAGTTTCCCCTCCCTTACTATAACAGTCATTTTAGTTTAATATGTCCTTACAGTAATCCAATTTGTTTACAGTATTTAACCTTTATTATCCAACAATACTGTGTAAAAGCACTATACACAAACAAACAGATACCCAATATAGTAACTACAGTATAAAGCATGTGTCCTTATGGAATGAAGAGGAGATGTACAGTAGCTGGTGGGGGACAATCCCAGCAGCCCACACTGCACTGCATCCAAGAGCTCAACTCCTGTCCTATTTACCAAGGTTAAGGATCCACAAACCTCTTGGTCCAAGATGGGACAGGACTGTGTCAATTTGTTTCCACCCGGAAGGCTAAACCTGACTTACAAATCTCCTGTCCCTATACATTCCCACTGAAACCCAAAGACATCCCAAAGGACAACTGCATAAACACTGTGCCCGGACAAAAAGGTTGAAATATGGACGTGGTGAACATGAGAAGAGGACTCTTCAGGGCTGGGGGAGGTCTGGGCTAAAGAAACTTCTCCGAAGATGTCTCTCCCTCTCCTTTGGCTGTTTGCAATGACGTTCGTGTTACTGCATTGGTCTTGGAACTGAGGCCCACTGGATCACAGAATTGGTCTTGGAACAGAGTCCCAGGGATTTCACATCACTGGACAGTGTTCTCTCTAAAAGAGTATACACCAGACATGGCAGAAAGACAGCCAGAGGATCCACAACAATATGTCATAATTTGTCTCCATTTCCTGTCATAGTCTTCCCAGGATCTTTTGGGTGAGCCCACCACCCTGACTATTCTGGATGTGGACCACAGAATATGGCAGGTTTCATTTTGTCAAATAAATCAAAGATGACTGGACATAAGTGGACTTGAGAATGTCAATTCCCTGACAGGGGAGTATGCAAGACAGTGCACACTTTTGGAGAAGCGTTGAGAATCTGGACGCAGCCCCGTAATCAGAATGCATTTCAGACGAGGAGAGTGAGAGTCTACTTCCCAAACATTGACACTCAACATTATGCTTCTATTGTAACCATGCTGTGTTGTAGTTGATTGGGAGAACATTCCAGAACTGGACTCTAAAACATAGTGGATCTTCACAGAAATTTCACTGGAATACAGCCTCGTCAACAGAAGGTAATACAGTGTTTTTCTTGACATGAGGGGGACTTGATGGCTGAACTTAAGGAGTGACTTATTTTTTGTTTGTTTGTGTAATTGCAATAGCCACCTCTGTGGTAGACAATGTGTGCTTTCCTGCAAATCAAATGGTGTCGCCATTTGGACCCAAGACAAAAAGTGTAAACTGCTTGTTTTTGCTTGTTAAATGAATGTTGACTCCTCCTCTTCTAGAGCTCTGAAATTGAATTTCTGTTCGATTCTATGTTCTGCATTCTGGCAGTCTGACAGGCATATGTGTGTTGTCAAAAACATTGTTGCTAGGAACTTGAGATGCTGGCTGGGCAGTTTTTGTGCCTCTGCACTGGAATGGTCTAAGCTCTGTTCGCTTCAATGCACATTATTTGCACATAGACCTTATGCTAACACTCATACACAGACATAGATACGCACGCACACATACACACACACACATACACGCACAACCACACACACAGCAATATTTAGCCAAGCTTCTCAGTGTCACAAGGCAATGCAAATATTATTTTCCAATAGACTATATTGCTATGGAAAGATTTCTGACTATGCTACTTAGTAATCCTCATTTATAATTGGCACAATGGATTTATAACACCATGTCCTGTGTATTCAGAACGTATAGTAATAATGTCAGTATATAATCAAATGATTGTACAGTGAGTATGTTATGCTGTAAAGAAAATGTACATATGCACTTTTTGATGTATGTTTATTGCTTATTTTTGTGTATTTAATTTAATTTGTATCTATCCATGTGAAAAGCGCTGCTTGAAGGGGTCTGCAACTTGATTTTTCATGATGATTTGTGGAAGGAAATATATGAACTATAAAATGTGAAACATTATATAGAGTAATGGTATTATCTTATTCCCTCCCCAAATATTTACCCAAGTTGGTACCAGAGTTCGACTTTCAACTTGTTCTCTCTTTTTGACATTTACTCTGGAAACCCATGCTTCCTTGACAGTGATGGTGTACATTCTAAAGCAGGGATACAAAGATGTGAACTAGACAGCAGACACAGAAGTCTGAGGCTGTCTGAATAGTACTTACCGATATTGTAATTTCTGTAAAAAAAAATACCAGGATGTTATTATAACTCGTTTCAAGTCCATTGTGCAATATTCTATTATAGAGGGAGAGCCAGTTGAGTAGAAATGTATGTGCTGTAGTCAACTCTTGGCTGCAGCACATACAGTATGGGACCAGGCTACAAGTGTGGTTAGGGAGCTCTATGTGAATTCAGCCTTAAAGCAGGATTAGTCTCTGTTCCTGTGGCTTAGTCTTAGTCTCTTAATAAAGGAAGACAACAGAACAGAGTATGTCTTGAATCTCTTACTAATAGCAATAGTCTCTCTGCTTTGTCAGTGTTACCTAATTTCTCCCCCTCAGATATTTTCACAGTGCTCATGTTATGTCTCTGACCTGCTTAGTTGTTTTGCTGTATGGAAAAGGATGCACATCCAAAGTCTTTGAGCAAGAGCTGGATATCCCCCCCAAAAAATATATGTTCAGCAAATGATAAAGAGATTATTTTGCTGTAGCCTATCCATGCTATGTGTGCAATACCCATCCAAGGGCATTTTACCTCTTTGCAGAGTGATTTCTAGGTCGAAAAGAATGTGACGTGCCACTGTGGCTCAGCCAGAAAATCTATCATGTTATGTTTGCATTGTGTTAAGCTCCACATATGACACGTTTTGGAAAATGCCAGTCAGTGCACAATTTTGCACTGTATTCATGCATGGCTAATGATGATCATTGATTATCCTTCCGAGTGTTGCACTGGTATGATGGGCAATGATGCTGCTGGATATTGATTATTTATAGTGGAATAACTATAAATAATCACTGTTTACACCACCAAACTTATTTTTGTCTTATTATAATTAGTCTTGTCTTTTTGTGTTTATTTTGTTTGTTTATCATTCTGTTAATGTTATTGTTCTATCAACTGCAACAATACAAGTTCTGTGTACTGAACGCTGTTCAGAAGATTACAATAAAGACAATTATTTATAACCTGTTCCAAGATAAGATTTGTGGGAATATTAATGTTTTGGTGAGATATGGCTTTTTTTTTAAATCAGAGAATATACATACATGTCCAATCAAATGCATGACCTAACACAGGAAAGAATATGCAACACCATTCTTTCACGAGAAATTCCATAATTTGGTGTTTTGTTGATGGTGGTGTAAAACGCTGTCTCAGGCGCCGCTCCAGAATCTCACGTAAGTGTTCAATCGGGTTGAGATCTGGTGACTGAGACACACACACCATCACACAACCCTTTAAAACCTCTATGCTCCTTTGAGACCCCTCTTTCAAAGTCACTGAGCTATCTTGCCATGGTAGCCAAAATAATGGGCAACTGGGAATCTTTATACATCACCCTAAGCCTAATGGATTGGTCATTGCTTAATTAACTCTGGAACCACACCTGTGTGGAAGTGCCTGCGTTCAATATACTTTGTATTCTTAATTTAATCAAGTGTTTCATTTATTTAGGCAGTGACCGGTATGTTTCTTTGAACTACTGATGTCATCATCAGCGTCAGACGACAGCAGTTTGTTGGTAAGGGAGCCCCCTGCTGGCACCTGAACTTTACTTCAAGCAACAACCATGTCTCTGATCAGCAGCTGTTGATGGAACTCTAGCCTATATATCTAACTGATGGAACAAACCACTGATGTGAATGAAAACATGGGCAGAAGTGCAGAAGTAGTTTGACTGCATTGTTCTAATACAGTGTAGCTGACCCTTGACCCCTCAAACATGCTTTGATTATCACCAGCAACATTGCAAACTGTTTTATTGACTGACAGCCTGGGTCTGTTAGTGATCCAGTCCTCCCTGTCATAATCAGCAACAGAGGACATGGAAAGCATATCACCCCCCGTAGAAATGGTAGTGCGGTCAATGTAAGTAACCTAATCTATGTTCCTCTAACTCCCCTGAATACCTCTGTTAATCTGATAGCTATTGTCAGCAGTAATCCTGTGCCTATGGACCTGAATTGCACTGTTAGCACTGAGACTGTTTGCCCTACTACGAAGCCCACTGTGGGCAGATCACCCTCTACTATTAGCTCAAATGTAAATATCACTGTCATGTCTACCTCTGATAAACTTCCCAGGAAAGCACCAAAAACAAACAAGCAACCCAGAAAAGGGCTAAAAATTGCCTACAAAACAGCTGTTCTGTTTTGTGTAATGAGGAGCAACCAGATGCCGCACTTGACACATTTATGAAATTGCTTCTTCTAGTTACTGATAAGCATGCACCTATTATGAAACTGACTGTTAAAACTGCTAAATCCCCGTGGATTGATGAGTAATTGAAAAACTATATGGTTGAGAGGGAAGAGGCAAAAGGAATAACTAATAAGTCGGCCGCACAGCCGATTAGCAAATGCACTGTAAATTGAGAAATCATGTGACTAAACTAAACAAAAAGAAGAAGAAACTGTACTACGAAACAAAGATAAATAATTTAAAAAAGCTTTGGAGTACCTTAAATGAAATTTTGGGCAAAAAGGCGTCCTCAGCTCCATCCTTCATTGAATCAAATGGCTCATTCATCACAAAACCCTCTGATACTGCCAACTACTTTAAATACATTTTCATTTACAAGATTAGAAAAACTTAGGCATGACATGCCAACAACAAACTCTGAACTTTCATATCCATGCATAACTGACCAAATAATGAAAGACAAGCAATTACATTTTGAATTCTATAAGTGAGTGTGGAAGTAGGGCTGGTGAC